GATTCTCCACCAAGTATTGAGTGCATAACTGAACATAATTATTTGAAGGTTGACTTTTTTGTATTAAAAACATTTTTCTTTTATTGGTCGGATGAAATATGCTAATTTTTTGAGATAGGGATTTTTGGTTTTTCTTTACTTTTTTGCCAAAATCATCAACATTAAAACAATAAAAGGCTTGAACTACTTCAGTTGGGTGCAATGAATCTAAAATATATGAAAGTTTAATGTTTACCARTACATTACAGAAAACAATGAACTTTATCACAATATGCCTATTTTTTGAGAAAAAAATCATCATCATTTCTAACAAGAGCAACCACCGYATTTTGTAACAATTGCCGCAAAATGTAATATTATTACATGTGACTGAGTATTACAAAATGTGTTGAAGACTTTCATTACATTTGCATCAATTGTTACAAAATGCAGTTTTAGTGTGGTTTTATTACATTTTGAAGCCCAACCTTTTACATAATATGGCTTTACATACACTAAACATTAAACAGTTGAGTAAATTMTTTTAGAACAGTTCTGTCTCAGGGCCCATCACCACAGAATTGTGGAAGATTGAGTGTTTATTGAAATGGYTTTGAATTTATACCTGGTGTAGGTACTGTGCAAACAGAGGAACCTGCAGCAAAAAACAAAACAAAACCTTGTTGTTAAATACTCTGAACTTTCATAGTTAATTAATATGGATAATTTAAATAAGAACATTAATAGTAAAATAAAAAACTTTGACTCAGCAGACCTAACTATCTTGTAAAAGCAACAAAATATTATGTGTACCAGTAATTGGCTGACAAACTTCTCCATTTGAAGGGAGTCCATTAATGCAGGTACAGGCCTGGTTGTTTACAGTATTGCATGAATTGTTGGTGATACATATGTCACATGGCCAAGAATAGCCAACTTCACATTGGCACAACAATTCATTGGAAGTTGGTGAGCAAGCTGAGAAAAACATTTCAAACAGAGAAAAATTATATTAGAGCCATTTTGTGAAAATCAGCATTAAATATGATAAACTTTTACATAAGCAGGCATGCTTACCTGTAGTGAAATTGACTTCTTTTATTTCTAAAGACTGTGAAATATTTAGAGGAAAGGTAAGTGATTGCAGCTCGCTTCTGATATAACTTAGAATATTAGAGGGTACACTGGAAACCGGGAAGTGCAATTCAATTATCACATCAATGTCCACCAGTTGTGGGGATGCGACTAAGAAAGAAAAATACAAATTAGCTTGATGTAACCATAATAATAAAACATTTGCAAGAACACACATAGTATGTTTTTCTGAGGTAAATTAGACATGCATGGACCTTGAGGTATAAAAAAACTATTATATTGGCTCCAATATTCTAATATTATAATCTCTATTAATTTGTGTCATACCATTAGTTGTTGAAGGAACTGATGTTGTTACTGTGGGAATGAAAAACAAAAGTATTGGTAGTGACAGTATTACAATTCTTTTTAAATCTAAAAAAAAAACATTTATCCTAACAAAATTTAAATACATAAAGACCAACCAAATCAAAACTTATTTTTCAAATAGCAGCCATTTTAAATGTTATTCAATCATTACTCCAATCTTTCAGTAATATTATCACAAACTTATTAGCAAGTGAAGCCATCCTTGAGCCTAACAAAGCATGCTATTTAAATGTCATCCTCAGGGTAGATACAAGAGTATTAGTACAACAAYAGAGACTCTGAATCAATCAAAACAAAACTCTTTCTCGACATATCTTAAAAGTGGCTTTACATAAGCATTGTGGTTTTAGCAGGAAGAAAAGTTTTTTAATGCATATTGTTTGAGGAATGTAAAAATCTACCATATTTATTCATGTATACTGTAATACGATCTCATGTATAATACGACCCCACTTTTATGAGCTTAAAAAGCATAAAAAATTTAATCCTCAAACTACCTCCAATTTCATACAGACCAAGATTTTTCAACCTTTGCAGTCTTTATACATATCAGTAAAATGATCATTGGACTGTTCATTTTATTTTAACAACATTTGTACTAAAAGGTATTTTGACAACAAAT